ACATCGCGTTTATCTTCTCGGTTGTTTTCACGTTCATGGCCGTAGTCGGACAAACCAAACTAGTCAATAGAGATTGGAGAAACTCGCGTACTGTCGATAATTCCGTCTGACGACCATGGATGTGAAAATAACCGAGAAAGTAACGCGCAATGTCAAAACAGGGGTGGAAGGCATTAATTGCGCGAACTGTACGTACCCAGGTTCGTGCAAACTCGGCCGAGTCAAAAACGCTATTAAGATGCCTTTTCATGCTAACGCTCAACGCTCATTTTTAGCGTCAAAGTAGATCACGATCAAATTATCGCTTGATATTCGTCAATTTTTATCACGTGATTTATATTGACGCTGAAAATGAGCGTCGAGCGTCAGCATGAAAAGGTACCTTTAGAAAGCAGCTTTGCAACTGTTGTAAAATTCTTGAATATGGGTGCGTTCAGCAGAACGTTTGTTTTGCAACTGTTGTAAGTTTCCTTCGCGCTAATTGGATCATACTTTTAGATCTAGAAGAATGGTCCTATCTCAGCAGACAATTATAAAACGGTTGCAAAACTGTTGAGTCTGCTGAACGCAGCATATGATTGGTTTATACATTTAGATCCAATGAGGAACTATGGCCAAGACCAATCATATTAAAGAATTTTACAATAGTTGCAAAGCTGCTTTTTCTGCTGAACGCAGCCAAAGTTGGCAACTCTATCCTAACCTAATCCGTTCTGTCAGATCGGTGTAAATAAAGACGTATCAAATATTTAGTACCAATTTGATACGTATTAACGGTACCGATTTAACGGTATAAAAAGGTTCATGGAACGACGACGATTATGCGGGGTTATTCGCGATGAATAATGATGCGGAAGGTACGATTAAGGTGAATTAGGATTGTGAGAAGCATGGGATCACAAATCTCTTTTCCCGCGATGAACAACTGCCTCAGAAATGTGCTGAGGAGGCTGCGAAGAAATCGCGCCTCGGAAAAGTATGTGTTGTAGAGAAGAAAGGAATAATGTCTTTTTATTTACATTCTTCTTTCTATATTTTCTCTTCTATAATTTCAGGACCATTGTTCTGCTTATTATAGGATTGGATAATGCTGGAAAGTCTACGATACTAAATCACATTAGTGGCGGTAAATTTTCTAAAAATTAAAAATATTTTAATGCCAAACGAAAGTCTCTTGGAAGCTTACTGATATAACACATCGATTTTTTCCTGCATAAAGCCACACACAGTCAAATAAACTTGTCAAGTATGCATGCTTAAGGTACTTGTACAAGTTTATTGGAATGTGTATGAGTCGAAATATATGTATAGTTATTGCAAATCAGCACACATGTTTCAATAAACTTGAACAAGTATTTGACAAATTACTTGAACGTGTGTAATTGGTCTAATGTTATTAATACTTTTACTATAGATCCAGATCAAAATGTATTACCCACAATGGGATTTCGAATGGTATCCTTAAAGCATAAATCATATTTTGTAAAGATATATGATCTTGGAGGTAGCTCACAAATTAGAGCATTATGGCCTAAATATTACAATGATGTAAGTATGTAGGTTTTTCAAATAGATAACAATACATAACAGTTATAAACAATTACGATAAAAATATTAGACAATAAGTTGTTACAGACATTGGACAAAACAATGTAAATACCTGAGAAATACACTTTAATTATTATTATTATTAATAAAAGGTTGGCCTTTCTCTCTTTCTCTCTCTCTCATTTGCCTTTCATATAAATTCTATCCTTGTTCGAATAGAAAGGCATACAATACTTGAATTATTAATGAAATGTTTTATTGAAGTCAATGTCTATGAACACATGATTGTTTCTATTTCAAAACTTTCTTTTATTTTAATGAAACATCTTTGTTCGTGTATATTCATATTCATAGATTTGGGAATGCAATTTTCTTGCATTTTATAGAAACTTGAGTATCTTGGTGAAAAAACAAGTTTTTAATAATGTATTTTTAAGGGGATGCTGGAACGACGGTGTAACTTGATCGATGTCGATAAAACAGATTTTTAATTCCAAATAAAATATTATGTACATCAAGAAAACATTACATACATTAATTAAAACATTACATACATTAAGCAAAACGTTACATACATTTCTTGCTCTGCTACATTCTCTACATCACATAAATGCGAAATTATGTACACTCAAATCATACTTCTCAAGCCATTTCTCTTGTAAGCTTCAAAATAATTTGAAGGTTTCATGATATTTTTATTCAAATATGGGAAAGTACTTTTTGTTTGGATATATCCTTGCATTCATTTATATATATGTAAAGGAAGCAAACTTACATGATAACAAAACTAATTTAAAATCGACTGGATAAATTAAAATGGTCCACCCTGTATATGTATGAGGAGGAAATTTGCTGCTCATTCTATTTTTCAAAATTGCTTTCTATTCCCCAAAACTTGTATATTTTTCCTAATCAGCACAAGTGCCTAATTTGAATATCATCGATTAATATATTTTCTCCTCCAATATCTTTTAAGTAATTATAAGAAATTTTGTTAGAAAAATGTGCACTATATTGACTATTCAAGCATTGTGTGATTCTGTTCCAATAAGGATAGAATCTGTATTAAAAATCAATCTCTTACAAATAAAACAAATAGTGTATAACGCGGGTGTTTAAATTATTTTATCTATTCGCTATATATCTGCTAAGGCAAATAGGAGCTTTGTTTTAATTGTCTTTTAGATACATGGTCTTATATACGTGGTGGACGCTAGTGATATTTCCCGTCTTGCAGAGAATAAAGTCGTATTTAATGAATTAATCACACACGAGCATATTTCGACGAAACCAATATTGTTGTAAGGGATCTGAAGTTATGTCTCTGCACACATTTTTGCTTACGCACATACGAAAAGGAAATTAGGCCATATGTGTGCATATAATGATCAAGGATGTTAATAAATCGCGTAGTATCATCGATGCAGATTTAATTCAGATTTTCGTTATGTATGCATAGACTCGCCAACAAACAAGACCTGAATGGAGCTATTGATGAGTTGGATGTAGTTGAAAACCTTGATGTAGAGCATGCGGCCAATGCTATGAGATGTCCAACAAGAGTGGAAACATGTTCGTGCATTTATAACAAAGAGCAATCCAAAAATAGCACTATGGGTATAAAGGATGGATATAAGTAAGCTTAGAATTATATTTAACTTCGCTTAAGAAGATTTAGATTTATGTGCGAAATAAGGGTTTAATGACATACACTTTCATATTGATAATCAGAATTCATTTTCTGGCAGATGGTTGTTGGATATCATAGTGAAGAATTACGCTGTTTTGAACAGTAGGGTCAAACAGTCGCAAAACTGTCAACATAAAAGCATTCAACGGGCACAATCTATCGCATCAAATACACCATCGAAAATGTCTGTACACTCTAATCCATTTAAACCCATTAAAGATCTCTTGGCAGCAAAGGTACACGATATTAATAGCCTTTATGTTCATTACCTTAGAAATGTAATGACAAATTTTCCAATCTTATGATTTGTCACTAATATTTTCTTTTAAAATTTCAGGATGAAGTTTTAATAAGTGAATCATGCAATGGTACGTATCTATGTTAATTATGTAATAATTAGAAATATATATATAACATTCAAAATTAACATAAGGGTTAGAGTGCCAAGCTGGATGTTTAATATACTTCATGTTTAACAGTGTTTATTATAAACATATGGGTTCGCTTCGTTACCAATTATTGTGGACCCTGTAATGCAAGATTTAGATCTCTACATTAGAATTGTTATCTTTCAACTTCTTTCTGCCAACTTCCTTTTTACGTGAGAAATATTGATGACATTCTGGTTTCTGATCTTAAAGATAAATTGGATATCATTCTAAAACTCTTTCAACTCTTTACATTAACGGTTATAGCTCACCATGGAAATTTAGAACAATAGTATTTTTGAATGTTTTTTTTTTCATCTGATTAGAAAGGACGGAGAAATTATTTTTGTAAAATAATTAAATTAACTTATCCAAAATTTTATCAAAATAACTTAAATATAATAAATATATTATTAAATATTAACTATCCGATCAGTTTTATATTTCCTATAATTAGACAAAGCTATAAATGCTTTTTTACGTAAGAAACAATTTTTCTAAGATGACTAATAAGGATGGCATTAGTAATTCTGATTTATCAGAGAAGAGATCTTTTTTACTATCCCTTACATCAATTTTGTATTTGAAAGGTTTATTTTGATCTCTACAAGACTTAATCGTCAAATTGCTTTTATTTATGGTTCAATAGTATTTTAAGTTGTTTATTGTAACACTGCATTAATAATCTGTTGTTGAAGGATAGAAATGTACGTTTATATATGCGAGATATTAAATTATTTATGTTAACATAAACATCCAGCTTGGCTTCTAACCCTCATTCTGTTAATTTTGAATTTTTATTCTCAAGGCTAGTATTCATAGTCACTTCTTATATTCAAGACCATCTTAAGTTCTGCCTTGAGATGTCACGAACCAATCAGAGGATCGCATTGGCGTCTTAAGACATTCCTTAAGATGGTCTTAAAATAAGAACCGACTATGAATACCGGCCTATGAGTCTTATTACGCACGCACGCACGCACGCTCGCTCGCTCGCTCGCTCGCTCGCTCACACACACACACACACACACACACACACACACACACACACACGCGCGCGCGCGCGCACTGGAATAAAATATATAATATTTCACATATATTAATATGAAATATTTATAGGTATCAATAAAGGAAGAAGCATTATAAAAGTTTTCGCACGAAGAAATAAGACTGCCCCTCTTCCAATTGAACAATCAATTACTGAATACGAAACTGTTTCACAAAATCTTACATCTAATGTAGAAATTCTTGCTGGAGAAAAAAGTACACAAACTATAAGTATGACTACAATATTAGATCCGTTGAATTTAAGTATCAATCATAATGAGAGTTATGCAAGTACAAAACTAATCCGTCCGTATACAGCGCCAGAAAGATCACAACGATTATCGAATGATACAACGATAATTAACATTCCTGGTCAGGTGCTTCAATAGTAGCATCTGTAAATTTTATACTTACTAATAGCGTTTTCCATTGGGGTACTGCAGCCTTGCACCATATCAATTGCGTGTAAGTGCTACACTGCACTAGAGTACACCATGGTGTACACTACTTCATTATATTGCGCTAAAATCCTGCTCCCGATTGATTGCTTCCATTTTCAAATTTTAAATGTCACTGACTCTACACCATCCCTTTGAGACGGTGTAACAAAATCCCATTTCGTGCATAAAATTTGCACTACACCGTAACCACGGAAATATGGTACATCGAATGAGTTCGCTTATCACCAGTCATGGAAACATGGTACACTATCTGCACCATCTGAATGTTGCACTGGTGGGCGATAGTGCGGCCAAGAGAAAACGCTATAAGTTAAAAAAGTTTATACATACATATATATATATATATATATGAATGAAAAACTGTAAATGACTGTAAAAATATGAGTTATATTAAGAGGAAAACCATTATAGTTTTTAGATAAGTAAATAATATTTTAAACATTGCTAGTTTTAAACTAAGCATTGCCTACTCTTGCATACACGCGCGTTTGAAAGTTGTATCTTTTGTACGAAAATAATTTATACCGTTAAATTTCAATTTTCAAACTTGGAGAAAACAGGAAAGTAATTTTACTTTTGTAAACATTAATATTATGTTTTTGAAATATATAATGTACATGTAATATAAATGAATTATACAACTACAATGTTATTATCTGTTTATTACTTGGAACAACCTGGAATTTTTAGGAAACGTCTTTAATTATTATTAAAAATTAGATATTATTAGATGAATTTTTATCGGTACTCAGGAAAATTTTAGAATTTCATTTTTAAATTAAAATTTTTTTTTCTGAAAACAGTATTTTTTTGATCATCTTTCTTTGCTAATGAAAAATGTTGATTAGGGATGGATCGTAAAATTACTGGATACCGAATATCGGATATCCGAAAAGAATGTAACGTAGGTATCCGGTCGGATATCCGAGAAGGCAATTTTTCAAGTCGGATATCTAATATTTTCAGGATATCCGACTGGATTCCGGGAAGTCTTCTTAAAAAAAAACTTGTAGAGAGAAAAAAATAATTTTGCGAGAATATACAAGATATTATAGCATTATGAATATGCATACTTATTTATAGAACATTTATATAGGGTAAAAAGTCCCGACCGGTAAAATATCTCGAAAACTAAGTATTTCCGAAAGAAATGTTTCCTACAAAAGTTGTACGATTTTAAATGATCTATTCACTGATCTGGTCAATTTGACCTTGAGTGGCGTCGCCAAGGTCAGGTCAAGGTTATATCGATTTTTTTAAATTGCACCCCCTTTTTTTTATTCCAGAATCTAATAGCTGGTGTCAAGAGCTTTTCAAAACATTACAATAAAGTTATTTTTCATAAAGTACTTTTTGAGTTATAAGGCTTGAAAATTACAGTACCGCCGGCATTAGCATTAGGCAAGGTGTCCGACCGATGGCTAAAATCTCTTGAATGTTGTTCAGGATTATGTTCTGGATAACATTCGTTAAGATTGTATTGATTGTGTTCGCACATGTATGGTCTAAAATGAGATTTTTATTCTTTTACAAGATTTTAATAAACACTTGAACTAAATGTGTTCTAACGAAAAATATTCCAGTATCCTTGCATATAACTAATAATAGAGTTTGGAGGGAAATAGACTTTCTCGAAGATTCACTGACGACTCTCGGACATAATCCATTGTGGATCGCAACTAGTAATTACAATAATATACTATATTACTACAGCATTTTACAACATTGATATGTTATATTTTATCAATTTATTGTGTAAATTTGTATACAAGTTCGTGTATAGAAAGATATTACAAATATATACGATACAAGCACACAAAATACCATTACGTACATAAAGATGTTGCAAAATTGCTTTAATACTCCGGTAACATTATTTTGAAAACTGTAACTTCCAAACAGATTTATGTGACATACGTAGTTTATTTAGCACACACTTATCACAATACACAATGCAAGACATTGTGCAATTTTACATTTTGCAATAACATCTTACATCTTTGAGCAAACGTTTTGTAACGTCATAGATAAGATGCTCACATTGCAAAATTTTTATGGTAAACTGCATATATCTTACTATACGAGGAACAATAAATGAGAACATAATTAGCAGAAACTACCATTATATATATATATACGTCATACGTGTCATACACATGCGTACACTAGTAGTCTTATAATATAATATAGTTATCAAGCGATTGTGTATAAGGCATACAAATTTTATTACTCTTACTATGAAAGACTTGTATCACTTTTCGAAAATTTCGTTATCGCTTTTCTTATGAATAGCAACTTCATCTGTAATATTAATTGATCCGTTTCTCTTAAATCTTTACCTAATATCATACGCTTATTAAATTACTAACGCAACGCATATCCGATGATCTCGGTATCTGCAGGTAAGGTAATGCATTTTAACAATATAATTACAATGTGACTTATTTTATTTTTTTAATGTTTTCGTAACATTCGAATACTCAATGCAGTTGCAGTTCGTAGCAAATTACAACTATTTTATCTCAGACAGATTATAGTTACAATGCACATAATAAAATTGAATATTGAATATTGTTTCGTATGTCAGACTGTCCCTGGTGAAAATTCTTAGAATTTTTCTTGTAATTTATTTAAATTTCTCTATATAAATTGTTGAATTTTTCAAAAAATTTCTGTTTAATTTTATTATTTTTTTTTTTTTTAGAAAACTTCACATTTTTTTTTATGAGTAGGAACACTTGACACTTTGCGTTTGGTTCCACTAAACGTTCGCAACGCTCGCGTGCATCATCTCATCCTTGTATAATATTTGATGACAAGGATTTTAAAAAACCTTTTTAAAAAAAGAAATGTGGCGACTCGCCACCAGACGTCTAATAGGTCTCGCGCGGATTCTCATAAGTATCACAGTTACACGAATTCCCTTTACATAATCCCGATCTAATACTCTTTCGGGCGTCTAAGTCAAGTCCCACTACATCGCCTATTCGCCTTATTAATAGTCCAGTAGTGGGGATCAGGACGAAACCCCGCGGTCGATTATAATTCGCATCAATCACGATCCATCATTCATTTTTCATCACAAATTTTTGAAAACGTAATATAGAATTTAAGTCTTTTAAAAATAAAGAGATAATTATAATAAAAATAATTTGTATTTATTAAATATTAGGTTAATAAAATGTAAAAATAAAAGATAAAATTTAATTGTTTTACTTTTTCTCACCTTTTCTCATTCTCTTCTTTTTCTTTTTTACATCCTCATTTTCTGAGTCTTTCCCCTTATGCTCTCTCTCTCCCCCCCCCCTCCTCCCTTCCTCCCCCTTCTTTCCCCTTTCTCTTTGTGAAAGCAACTTAATAACAAAACGGTTTATATGTATGCGTTTATAGGTATTTGGTAAAAAACATGTTTTAAACGTGTTTTAAACATGCTAAATTGATGTTTTTAATATGTTTTAAATAAGTTTTTTTATAGTATTATTTAAAGCATATTTGAAGTATTAAAAACATATTTAAAAAGAAACACAGTAATTTTATTCTTACAAAAAAAACATTAATCTTTACCAACCCTAATTTATACTAGTGACTAAAAAAGTTTGAAAATATGAAATAATTTCTTTTCAGGACTCAATCTCTAGATCTCGGCATCGACTACACCAATTTTGTTCGGTTGCAATCGAAAGATTGTGCTGGTATTATATGATAAAAGTGTCGTTAGATTTTTTTATTGCAGTTTTAGTTTCTTAGTTTAATCGAAAGTTTGTCGAAAGTTTGTCGATGTCAAAACTCTGGAAAGAGCTTCTTCGCACGAAAATGACCCCCCTTCCTTCGATGAAACAGATGCGGCTAGAACAAAAACAAAAAGGTGATGTAATGCTCGCGAAAATGGCGAGGCCCGCTCAGATACCGGGCGCCTGCGTCTACGACGTCGTCACGCCGCACGGACACGCGTCAGGACGAACGGACGGGTCATCCAAAACCGCAAGACAGCTATATGTCAAGGCACTAAGTCGGCAACACAGTGATCATGTCATCTTTGTTTAACATTGGCAAACAACAAGGATGTAATGATTCATTGTGTCACACCGTGTCATTTGTGTCGCTTGTTGGAAGGCACCCAAAAGCACCCGAACCGAGACGCGTCCGCCGAGACGAGTGATTCTTCAGAATTCTTTTTAGAAAGAGCTAGTCCTAGTGGTAACGTTGCGAATTTGGCAGCGGCACGAACATGTACACAACAACGTTCACACATCAAGCAGTCAAGCGGCCAGTTTCATATTTTTTATGCATTGATGTCAGGACGCTATCGCATTGCTTGATGAAATGATACTCGCAAGCGTTACGAACATTAAGTGGAACGCATCCATAAAAAGTTTCTCAGAGATCTATCTCTATCCGCTCAGTTTTTCATTATTTTAATGAATTTCATGTTGAGTATTATTTTTTTTTTCGTAGAGTTCCTAAAACATAAATAAGTATTTAAAAATGTAGAAAATTGATAAAATCTGAAAAAGTCCAAAATATTTTTCAGAAATCTTTATAAATTTAAAATATAAAAAGTTTTTGAAAATATGATGAGAATTTTTTTTACCAGGGATTATTTATTGTAAAGAATATATGTGTATACATTGCTTTCACTTTAGTATAAAATATATGTATGTGTGTTATACACACATTAATCGTAATAATTAAGACAGTCATATTATTACATATATGATTTACAATATATAATTAAAAAATATTCTATTTGTATGTGTGTAACTACTGTAATACGATATATGAAATAACTATTAATCTTTTTTTATATATATTTTATATTTATATATGAACTATGTCCATTTCTATCAATGTAGAGATTAATTTTAATCTCAGTTTCATTTCTCTTTGTCTTTTTTTTAATTCATAAAACTGGAAAAAATAAGTTAAATCGAGATTAAAGTTAAATCTACATTGGGAGCAAAGGTCATTACACCTAACGAAAAATATGCTTAAGAATATTGTATATGACATACAGCCATGTGCAAAAGTATTAGCACTTACAATTTTCTCATATTTTACGAAAAGTTAAATATCTCGACGAAAAAATCTCAGGGAGGTTTTCGACCATACTTACATCTGTGTTTGAATCTTTTGTCTATTTCTTAAGTTACATAAAATTGAAAAAAGATCTCTGAAATATTTTTATTTTACTTTAAAGCGTTACAATTCAATGAAATATTCAGCAAACAAAATTTAATATGAAAGTATCAGAAAGTAAGCTTCCCAAAAGCTTTAGAATGCTTTTTGAAAAAAATTTGTATGATAATTTTTCGCAAAGATATTATATTTTTTATTATGTGAAATTTTATTTATTACGTGTAAAAACTTTTAAAATTAATAATCGAATAAAGTTTTTAAAAAAATTTGAAAAAAATTTATACGAATCAAGCACATTACAACAAACATTTTTCCTTTTTTGTCTTTTTTGCGTATACTTTTTA